TTGGAAAATTCACAATCATACAATTAGGCAAGTTGTGAAGCACAAAATACCTTAAGTTGTCTGTTTTCCTGTTTTACTGCAGCAACCTCTGCCTCCAACCTTTTCAGGAATGCTATCTCTCGTTCTTGCTTGTCCAGTCTTTCAACCAGTTTCATCAACACATCATTATTGACATCAGCATGATGTTGTAAAGTTGATGCAGTGACAGTAGTAACAAAAAGGGCAGTGAACACATGAAAATACATGATGTACACCTGTCTGTAGCATCCAAGACGCTGACCTGGGTGAGGCAATGAAAACTTTTATATCACTTAAGCCATGATTTATTGAATGGACCTGTCAAACGCTTACAATGTGGGTCTTAGAAAGTTGGTTTTCTACAAATATTTGATAACTGATAGTTTAAGGGCAGCAGCTTATAATTTTTCTATAAATCATGTGTAACTCTTGATAACCAGTGACATTTTCAATCACAAATCTCTTTCTCCTCAGTTTTCCTTAACTATACTTTTTGAAGTAAGTTATGCCTGGACACCCCCAGGTTCTCTTTTATATATATATTACTGAATTTGTCCAGGCACCTGGAAGCACTAAACTTTAAATATCAAATAACTTTAATATATTGTATGTACAAACATCTAACATTTATAATAATTAAGTAAGCATGAGCAAAAATGTTCATTAGCTTGGTAGAGTGTCAACATCTACTCACATCAGTCTGATGAATGCCTTCGTCTAGGTTGGCCGTAAGCTAGTGTTTGATAGTTTTTATTTATGTTCTTACATATTTATAGATTTTTTTTTTACATTTTACCCACATGATACCTGTTCTCTAATGTACATGTATGTAATGTAAATGAGCTGTAAAAGCTACAGTAACAGTTGTTTCTTTGTTTGTTTTGGTTCCAAAACATTTTGCACTATTTATTTCTTATTTGATTCCTATAATAATAAACTGAATATTTTCTCGATCACCATTCTTTCCTTCAAATTATGTTTTCTAGATGGAAGAGGTAGCATGATATAATTGTTTCAAACATTCCAAAATCATTCTGAAGAAATATTAAAATTATTGTGCAAGCACACACATATACCAGTTAAAAATCGTAAGTGGTTAGGAAAACTGTTTTAAATTAATCTGAATTGGTAACCTACACAAGTGTTAAAACACTATCAGTTTGAAAATATATTTTCCATTGATACTTCCAGCACCTATTTTGCTAGCCCTTATTATCCTTGGAATCTTGAAGCACACAAGTGCTAAAATTCTAAACATTGAGTCTATCAAAAGTCATTTTCCAAAACACTTTCAGCACCTTTGCCAGCTTTACCTCCCAGAATGTGTTAGTTGATCACTGTCTCAACCATTGTGACAAGATGTCTGAGACTTTGTGCTTACTATTCACTTTGATTTATAACTTTCTTGATTTATGCAGTCTGCTTCGAAGAATTATAGTGCTTCGAAGAATTATAGTGCAAGTTCTTCTGAAACTATTTTCACTTCTTTTTATATGACATAATTTTAGATAGTACTTAACCGGGTCTTTGTGTTACCATACTTAATGATAATATGTCAACTATGTACTTACCGCTGGTACATGTATATGCAGATTGAACTATATGCTACATGTGTTCGCAACCACAATATGGCCTTGAGAAATCATTAAACCATCTTTCTCCTTTTCCTTCTTAGAAGAAATAAGTCCAAACATAGACTACGTACAGAATGAGACATTTAGTCTCCCAAGGAATGACATATTTTACACCATCTTTACAGATCTAGTTCACCACAATATTTTCATTGTAAAAATTATCATTTCTTTTCAGAGAGAAGATCAGAAAGAAAAAGACAAGAATCTCACAAATTTCATTTTGATGCCATGTAGCATACAGAACACCCTTACCTATGGCTCCTGGTGATGATGGACACTGGATATCCAGTTTCACTTTCATTTTAATGCCATGAATAAATGTAAATGGTAGTTTCACTAAAGATGCATACTAATTGATATTAAAGAAGGTTTCAATTTAATGTTTTCACAGTATACCATAGAGTGTAGTTTTCTAAAAAAAGTTGTGGCCAAAAGAAGTATTAAAAAATTACTGTTTGCTCGCCTTTTGTCTCTTAAATTATTTATGTATTTTCATTGTGGTTTCATTTCTCAGTAAGAAATAACTTAAAATGACAAAGTACAAATTGGATCAATATAAATATGGTGCTAGGTTGTCACATACACTATGGTCTTGCACCGCATCAAAGAAAAAAGACAACGAAAAGCTCATTTTCTAGTTAGCAAGTTATGGGAAATGTATGTACAGCATTACAAGGTATCTGTGTGTGTCTTTTAGCTTATAATAATGGCAGAAGGGAAAAAGTCCCACTAAACTTTAGAAAACACTGTTGGGATGATACAATCCTGCTATATTATTTCATGTTTTTATTTATTCATTTATTATTATTATTTTTTTTTTTGATAATCTTTTTTCTGATAATATTATTTATTCTTGTAATATTGTGCTATAACTTTCATTAAAAAAATTATTGTTGTTTAGATTTTCATGCAAAGGGTTTGAGAAAAACCATGAATTTTTGAGATTTGAATCCAAGTGGGAAAAGAAAAGATTATTCAGTTTTTTCAACTTTTAAGGCTTATATTTATAAGCTAAATTGTGTTATTTATAGAAAGTTTTGATTTTTTATATTTATTTATTTAAGAAATGTTTACCTATTAAAAGTTGTATATTATATTATATTATTTCAGTGGAAAACATGACTGATTGGACTTTTTAATACTCAATTAGTAAATTCAATACGAGGTTGGTTAAAAAAC